GACCGTGTCCCGGGAGAAGAGGAAGAAGTGGAGGGAGGCCCCTCACTGACTGCTGCGGTGGCAGAGCTTCCCCAGGCCGGGTCAGGGTGGCTGATGGCAGGAGGGTCCGCTGGTGTGGACGGGGAGGAGCCCTCCTCAGTTCCGTCGCACGCGGCGGGGCGTTTTTACCTGCACGGTTCTGTTTGCTGTAGATGTACTTATCCTGGAGAACAACGATATACCTGTGATTAACTGTGGGAATTAGCAGGAAGCTCTGTGCTCCTCTGCGCTTTGTAACGCTGTTGCTTTGTTTACCTTGGAAGAGCTGGCAGTTCTCGGGGGATTTGTTGGGACCTTCTGGGCACTAAGAAAATACAAACAACTGAAACCGAAATGACACTGAAGTTACATGTGTGACCTTGGCGTCAAGTGTAGAGCCATTTCTAAGAGGCGGTATATATGTTTTTTGAAGGAAAGGCTGTAAGAAGTAGAAGTTGTTGGCCTAAGAAAAGGCTGAATGAAGATAGGAGTGAAGTGCTTCTTGCATGTATTAATGAAGGGCTGATGCAAAGAGAGGTGTAACCAGTTTCTCCAGCTCCACTGGGATTAGAGTGGTCTTGAATCAAAGGGAAGGAGCTGCTAGTTAGACATAGGAGAACCTTTCTAGCCATGACGTTAGAGAAACAATGGGAGGGAATTGCCTGAGAAGGCTGGAAGACCCTTCTGGGGGTCGAGATTCTGTGAACTTCTGCTGAGAATGGCTTAGATGTTCTTAATCCTCAACGTGGATTCAGATGGATTTCTCCATGGAGAAAGAAGGATTAAATGATGTGTTGAATCGCCGTCCTTTTCTGTATTCTATACAGAGATAATTTATGAGGGACTGTTGATGCATTTAATAAATTCCCTTGCTAGGTCCTTTTGTTCTTTCTAATAACCAAAAAATGCAAAATACGCAATGTTTTTCAAACATCTCTTCTAAACATAGCTTTTCCTTCAAAACAAGGGGAAAAAATTATTTCTACATAAAAATCTTGCCACATGAAATTGTTATTTCTCTTGGCAACTTTTCTTTCCAGTGATTCACTGATTCCCTTCAAGAAAAGACAACTAGATAAAACTCTAAGGATAACCAAAGCAATGTGCGTAGCAGCAGGGTAAGAGCTGAAATGTCAGGGCATGTAAGGAAAAAGGAAAATCTGGCGTAACGACCCGATACAGAGATCTGGTCTCTGCACCTGAAGCCTGCGGTGGGGAGGGAGGTTAAAGGCAAACGAGTTCAGTTTCTGTAGTGGTGGTGGGATCAGAAGTTACGGTGCAGCAGCGGGCTCTTCGTCCGCAGAAACAAGCAGCCAGCACCTGCCGGGTCTCCTGGTAACGTCCCGTCCCCGTGGTGGGAACAGCACAGCACCTTCCCTTTGGATGTGGCTCTCCTTGATAGTTTCAGAGCAGATACTCCGAACGTCATCCTGATTCTGTGAAAAGATAGCAAAGCAACTTAAAAAACCATCAGTAAGGACCATTTCTTCCCTTTCCTAGTAGACACGTTGGAACACAGAGTGAAAAAAAAGCTTCAGCGTGTGATTCCTCCCCTGTTCCTTTGGCGTGCTTTACGATGTAGCTGCAGAGATCCTTGGGATTGCCAGCGGAGGGGAGGAGGGGGTGTGAGGCCAGGAACCTCCAAGGGTGTGGGAAAGGATGGGCATTCTCCTTCCCTCCACAGTCACACAAATAAGCTTAAAATGGTGCATTAAAAATTAAAATCGGTGCATTAGATCACCCTTTTAATTGCTGATTTACAGAACTAGAAGGAAAACCTAATCTGTAACCTCCAGGCCCTCAAATTTTATTTAAAAAAAAGAAACTACAACTGAACCTAACTTTCCTCTTTACTTCAAATGTAATTTTTTTAAAGTGCCCTGTCAGTCTTGACTAATAATTATAATAAAGAACTATTCAGCTAGATCACTGGCAATGACCACGTTTCTATCACCTGGCACTAGGAAATACTTTGTGCGATGTAGGCACTTTCTTCTAGCGTGCTGCTGGTTCTCCTGCCCATCTCTGTCACCTGGCTGATCCACCTCTATAGCTCAGAGACATCCCCGTGATACTGCACTAAGCGTGGCTGCTTTACTCAGAGAGCAGCATGTTAAAAAAAAAAAAAAAAAAGGTAAACTCTTCCACCAGGCCGAGCAGTAAATGTCAGTTGTATGTGTCCTCCCCAGCACGAGCATGCTCAGCTTAATGTCGCGGGAGCAGGAGTTACAAAGCCGGAGCGTTTCCCTGCCACCAGAGGTACGTCTCCAGGCCCCGTGTCACTCCCCTGGCCTTGGACGTGCGCCTTCCGTGCTCCAGGCCCTTGCTCTGATCCCCCCAGCTGGCGCTCAGTACAGCCCAGGCATCACAAGGCTGGGATTAAAATGCCAGTCTCGCTGTTGGCGGTTCTGTCGGATGTAATGGAATAAACCTTCCCCTCCCCGAAGAGCCTCGGGATTTCTACGGACAGGACTGATAAAGCAACGATCAGTGAGCTCTGTGTACTCAATTACTAGCAAGACTCTACAAAAAACTTGCCACTTCCTTCCAGTCTGGGTTAGTCTTCCGTAACTGATATGTTGGGTTTGGTTTTTTTTTTCCCCATCATTCTCACTGCCTGGTCAGATTGCATGCTACTAAGTGAGGTATTTTACAGAAATCTCCCACATTATTACTGTCTTTAAGCTACCTTCATCAACAACGACGCTAAGATAAATTGAATTTATCATAAGCCCACAGTGATATGCATTATATTACTCTCCTTAATTATTTACTAATTGGATTCTCTATTAACCATTCCATTAACTTTCTCTAGATCCACATCACACTCACAAGCTTGTAATTATCTCATTCACCTCTCGAAATGCCCTTAGGCTTCCTCAGGGCCTCTAGAGCTGCCGTAGTTTCCCAGCACACTGAAGAAAGGATGCGTGTGTCCCCCAGCCAGCCCTGCTCACATAGCTGGGGACAAATTACAGGGAATTGCGAATATCGAATTACAGACCTTAGCATCAACTCATTAACGTCATCCTAAATTATTCTTGATACGGAGCTATTTAATAGTCTCGGCTGTACCAAACATCTGTCTCTTCCCAGATACACACGGAAGTGCTCACTGATCTCTTTTTAACAGTTACTAAAGCCACGAGTTCCCTCGGGTAACGAATCGCTATCAGAATTGCTGCAGCTTTGGTTAACTCAGGAAAAAAAAAATAAAAAATCTTACTCCGTTTATTCCTATCCATATTGGCAGTAGCTTGTTCTCTGTATCTGTTTTTCTTGATTAAACTCCTACGTTCTTAACCTCTGGCTTATATTCAGTATCCTGTTCTTAGGCAATTCTAACTTTAAGTCTGTTCGGTGTTTTAATACAGTAATCCTTCTGAAAAAAAGGTGGCGCCTTTTTCAAACAGGTGTGATGCTTAGAGAAATATTCTTAATTAGCGTTCATGGTTCGCTTCATTTTTTGGTTTTTTTCCTCACCACGTTATGGTTTCTGATTGTTTTCCCCTTGGAAGAACTGACGCTTTTTAAAGCTACACATACAGTGGGTTGGGTGTTAATCATGCTTGCAGATTCCAGTATAACCTGTCATGATGCCGTGTACTAAAGTTACACTGATTTTTAGGTTTGTGGTCTGTTGTTTTTCGTATGCTAAGATGACTTCTTAGAGAATCTGCTTGTGCCAGACACTACATTTTTTGTTCGTGAGACATCTTTTGTCTCTGAACGCTCTGTGGGTAACACTGTGTCTCCGCTCCTGTGCCTACATGTTACTCAGAATTTAGTTATTCGTGGTAAGGTTTTCACCCGCTCCCCTTCTTTTTTACATGCAGGTGCAATTATCTTGGGATTTATTTTAATTTGATTCAGTAGATCGTAGCAGACACATATTAATAAACCATATTGATATGCTGATTTCATAAGTGCTTGGCATCATGTTGCTGCCCGAAAAAAAAGTGTAATTTTTTTACATAAATTGCCATTTTCCTTTCTTTTTTCCAAGTTGCTCCTTTATTATTTTTTTACAACCCAAGAATTAGAGTCACCCCACCAGCTCTCGGTAGCACCACCTAGGCTTTCTGGTTGATAGCCCAAGCTCCCAGTGGTGCTGTACAGACCAATAAATTACCTCTTCATTATTCTCTGGTGGCCACATGGGTTCAGGATGCCGAAGGCTTTATCCGGGCAGCGTCAGGCAGCAGCAGCAGTGACGAGAGGGTGGGGTACCAGGCGTTCCGACTGATGTTGGTGACGATGCTTGTGTTGGGACAGAGCCTCTGCAGTGCAGAACGTGCCGCTGGTGATGCTGGATCAAGGTGGGCAGAAGATGTGTTTGGGCTCAGCCAGCTGTGGGGCTGTTCCGCAAAGAACTAGGATAGCCTTTCTGTGCTGACTGCCAGCCAAACTGCATCACATCTCACCCGCATTTCTAGGAAAACAAGAAACAATAATCCCATAAAGTGCTCCGATTCTAATGAAAAGACATTTTTTTGAGATATTTCCAACCATCTCAGTTGCTCGACCCACTTTCTGAGCGACTGCACCCTCTAATGGGGTAAAACAGATTGACTTTCAAAGCAGCCAATTTATTTTTATATTGTTTATATCCTTCTAGTCCTTACAGGCATAACGCAACAGTCCATTCTTGTGACAGTACAACAAGCACAGTTTTGCTGAATGTAGATTACAGGGGAGGTGTGAATATCCAGTCAAGACTTTATGTGATTCATCTCTACTCTGGGTTAATGAGAAGTGTGTAAATAGCTGTATACATTCATGGTGAGGCGAGAGAGACATGTTAACAAAAACATAGAAAGGACAGAAAAACGTTGTGGGGTTTTTTTTTGTTTGTTTTGGTTTTTTTCCTTATTGTGCGGAGCCATCTCATTTCACCAAAGCTTTGTGGGGAAGTAGAAGTTTGAACAATGAAAACGAGATGAAACAGACACTTAACCATGACACTGCATCTTGTCAAACAGGTAATTCTCTAATGGACCAATGAAAGCCGACGATGACAAGTTGTGGTCAACAGTCCTTGAATGTGCTGATGGTTCTACTGTCATTACTCTTGTCAGCAGGTAACTTTTATACTTTGAATTTATCTTTCACCGATGTGTACCACGGGGGAAAAAATAGTTGCAATTTTAATACCGGGTTCCGACAGAACAAACCAGATCAAATGAATTGTTACTTGAGTAATAAATAAATAAAGCTTCTTTTATTTAAGAACCGGAAGCTGGAATTTGAAACGTAATTGAAAATTTAGTTGAAGAAGGAAAAGGGGATGGGACACTGGCGTGGTATAGCAGGCTAAACATTTAAAAGAAACAAAGCTGCTGTTTTGATATGGGAAATTTTCAGCTCCTCTAAAAGTAAAAAACAAACTCTACGCTGCCGTGCAATCCAACCATTTTGATAAATAATCATCTGTTGGAAGCAGAGCAGGTCAGGTTCCAGTCGTGAGTTTTTATATGTGCACACAAGAGGGTGTAAGCATGGGAAAGGTTGGCTTTGGAACTTCGGCTGGGTTTGAGGTGAACACGTGTTAGATACAGATTAATTCCTCTCGTGTGTGTGTGTGTGTGTGTGTGTGTATAAGGAAAATGTGTGATGGCATGGCACACCAATATGAGGTTATTTTCCTGAACCTAAAGAACTGGCTGGACCAGGGAGTGGTTCCAGGGATTTTTCTCCTGACGCTTGCTAGAGCTGCCCTAGATGTTAGCTACTAGCCCACAGAAAGGATTTGGGCAGAAACCTGTCAGCTGCCAGACTGAGAATTACTGGAATGATTATGATGCGCTGTGAGCTGTGATTACTACCTGCATTTGTTCTCCAGGAGTTATGACATTAAGGTTTTCTGTAATTATGAATGAATATTCTAAAAAATAATTAAAATGGTTCTTAGTCCGAATAGATTTGATCCTATGAATTTTTAATTTCCAGTACAGCCTCTTTTATCCTCCATTCTTGCAGCACTTCTTAATCCAAACAGATACTTGTTTTCCATCACTGTTCCTTATTCCCCTGCACTACCTCACATGCCTAACCACCATACTTACAACTTTACCAGGCGTTACATATCTTAAAGTATCCTCGTGCTCCAGTGAGAGTTTTTACTACTCTGTCTGCATAATGCCTAAACCACTCAGTGTTAGATCCTCATCAATTAGTTCCAATGTGCGTTTTGTTGCCCGCGGTCTCACTGCTTGTTTGCAAGTGTTCAAGTTGATTCTCGCTAACGATCCTCCATTATTTAGCATAACTGACACAGTCCTGTTGCTAGCAGTGTTGTCACGTTACCAACTAGACTACTTCTCTGCCTAATGATCAAGTCCTGTTTTCCGTTGGAGCCCTTGCACCGCTGTCCCTGGGTCCGGCGCTGTAACGTAACCACCTTCCTCCAGGTCACAGAATCAGCCGCAGGGGTTGTAGCAGCTGCTTGCTTGTTTTCCATGTTCAAGTCATTTCAGAAACGCGTTTCCCTGGCGCGTGAATGAAACCAGTTATTGAAGAAGTCTTCAGTGAACGTGTCGCAGCGATCAAACATCACAAAGCTCGTCCCGTTGCTCCAGTCCCTTCTGTTGGGTTTTGTTAAGTTTTCACACCTTTGCCACTCTTTGTAGGGGACTTCTACTAGACATCTCCCAAGATCCCACTTATCCAGCCGTTGTCCTCAAGGGGATGTAGACACCTGTGTTCCCGCTGAATGGGACACGGGTTACACCGCGTGTGCAGATCGTGGTCGGCCGCTGCTGTACATACACACTTGTTCCCTCAAACCCAGACTGAAAGCGGGTGTTCTGGCAGTTCTCTCTCTTAAAAGAAAGGTGCTACCTCTGAAGTAGAATGTTTATATTTGAAGCTAATCACATATAACTTTTACTTCTTACAGAATTTATCTATTACCACCACAACCTATTGTCTTTGTAAACGTGTGCTTTATCTTCTCGCTGCTCCTTGGCTAGCCGTATTTTATCATCTGACATCCACTGTTAGCGTGTAGAGTACAGGCTTAATCTGAAATCATCACAAGCCTTTCATGCCAGCCTAACTCTGCTCCTTGGGGAATTTTACTGCTGACATCTGTAGGAGTGGGTTTAGGTCATTGCTAACTCTCAAACATTTTACAGGATGAAATTTATTATTTATTATTTTGCAGCCAGCCTGAATGTAATTTTTTTGGTCCAAAACAGGTCAACTTCCAGAAGGGAAAACTACTGGCTTCATGCAGTGAGAATGGCAGAGGAAAAAAAGGCTGCTACTCCCACTGGAATAATACAAACATTGTTTTTAAACTGAACTGAAATGAAAATCTAATGGCCAGGCTCCTTTTTTGTTCCCTAGATTTACAGAATTCTGCCTGTAAAACCAGGCTTTACTTCCCAAGGCTTTGAGATACTGAGATTCGGAATCTTGGTACCAAATTTCTAAAATCTGTATGCGTGGTTGAAAACTGCACTTCAACAGCTGGCAGTGTCCCCGTGCTTGGCTCTGGGGGCAGAACGAAGGTGAGGGCACAAGTGACAGAACCGATCCCAGAGCGGCTGTTCTGGGGTCTTCATTGGGCCAGACCAGGAGACAAGCAGCCACGGTGGCAGTGCAGCAGAGGTGGCATGTACCAAGGTCCTGGCTCGGCGGAGGATGAAGTTGGGCAGCTTTAGCTGTGGGGGTAGGAAGGAGATGCAGTTGCCTGACGTGGGCAGAGGCAGCGCTGGGCAGAAAGGCTCCGGGTCGGAGTTGGTAGGCTGTGGCTCCATTTAAAAAAAAGGATGAAAGTGGATTGAGAATGCTGAAACCTGAGAGTGATTTTCTTTCAGTGCAGCTTTAGGGTTTGTGAACACTCACTGGTCACAGAAGGAATGTGCAGGAAAAGGAGGAGCAGCCCGCAGCCATGCAGGACCTCCCCTTCTGACCGCTGGCTCGTAGGTTTGCTCTGCAGTCATGCCGATGCTTTCATTTAAGGGACTGAAATACATTTATAAAATCAAGAGATGACATCAAGGCTTATATTAACGAGCAAAACCTGACAGATTATTTGCACCTGATAGTATTTTTACTTTGAAGTAGGAAATGGACGTCCATATAACAAAATCCTCAGAGGACCTCCACCGGTTGGCCCTGTCCTAAGTAAAATGCGTACGTGTGAATATTCCTCTGGATCCATATGGAGAGCTTCTAAGGACCAGCCGTTCTGAGAGCCTTGGGGCTTTAAAAATTTAGTAGCTAAATAAAAAATTTAATCAGCATTACACAGATCTCTAACTGTGAACAGATATGGAAGTAGCCGTTCAATGTACACTGGCTGTTTACTTTTTAACGTGGATAAGTCTTAAGATGAGCTTAAACCAGTCATGTGAAGCGTGACGGACTGTTCTCTTCTCGAAATCAGTAGGAACAGAGATGGGAGCATCTGTGTCACTTACCTGTGCAGTGATACTTTTCAGAAATAGTACGAGAATTTGCACAGGCGACTCCACTTCAGAAACAGCTGCCATCTTTGCAGCGGAAAACTTAAGAGCCTTTCAGATACGTTGCTTTTATCTGAAGTATTTCTGTAGAAATAAGGCTCTTTGATCCTCAGGATTTAACCAAAGTTATTTTCAGGAAAAGTGCTTTAAAAAATAATTATACTTTGTTAGATCTCTGATTCTCAGAGGAGCAAAGGCAGCAAGTAAGATTACAGAGATTAAATTGATACCGCTGTGTACTAGCTCTGGCTGGGATGGGGTTTGTTTTCTCCACATCAGCCCATGTGCTCCTCTCCCCGAGGCTGGTGACCAGAAGAGCGTTGGGGACACACCAGTATTTTAACTGTTCCTGAACAGCCCAGACACAGGGTCCAGGCTGCTCCTGTTTCTCATTGTGCGCCGCAGCGAGGAGGTTGGGGTGGGCAGGAGCCTGGTAGGGGGCTCAGCTGGCCCAGGTGACCCAGAGTGGCCAAAGCGACACTCCAGTCCAGTCCAAAGGTAACAGCATGCTCAGCAATAAAACGGGGGTGGGAGTTGATCCAAAAGTTGCTCAGGATCTGGCTGGGCATCAGTCTGCCGGTAGTGAGCAATTGCTTTAGCATCACTTGTGGCTCCAGGTTTGTTGTTGTTGTTGTTGTTGTTGGGGTGGGTTTTTTTTTTCTTAAACGGTCTTCATCTTGACCCATGAATTTTCTCACTTTGCCCTTCTGATTCTCTCGCCCATCCCACTGGGAGGGGGAGTGAGCAAGCAGCTGTGTGGTGCTTAGCTGCCTACCAGGGTTAACCCACCACGTACCAACTACCGAATTGAGCCTGCAGCTCCAGCACCATGTTTTGCTCTTATTTGTGCATTTATGTTAATCACTGACACACATTTTACTATTTAAGGATTTGCTTAGGACTACATTTTGTTACAGACATCACTCCTCCTCTGACTTGATGTTATCTTCGTTCTCTCTTCCTTCTGTAGTCAGCCTTTCCCCAGAGAAGCCTGGCATTTGTTTTCCTTGTAAAACAGGCAAAGGTCTTATCTAGGGGTGGGGGGACACTTTCACATGTGCCGTTAAGTAAACCACTCTGCAGTGATGAGCAGGCTAAACTTCGGTGGGTCCCGTAGCCCTCTGGTGCACTCTCACAATGCACTGTCTCTCAGGGCACCGAATAATTTCAGAAGCATGGGCGTTTCTTTATGAAACATAAAGAACTAGTTTTAGTTCTTGTATCATGCGCTAGATGTAGGTGCAAGCCAGGAATAACCTTACAGGGCTGCTGTTCGGTTGTGGTAGCTTAACACGGGTGTAATTCACCCAAGTTGTAGTAATAACAAAGGAAAAATGGCATTTTTCCTATGTTGTTTTTCCAAGAAATTACATTATTTGCAAAGCTAGTTCTAGCCATGAATATCTTCCATTAAAATGTCCTAAACTTGAAACCATCATCTGTACTGGAGGCATCAAAAATTACTGACAGGTAGGTAGTTGTAATAATGTAACTTTTAAAAGGAAAAATAATAAATCTTTAGCCATAAAAGGCCTTATACCTGCACTTGGAAAAAAATGATGATTCTGTTGATAACGTATGATAAACAAAATCTGTGTTGCACTCTGAGGCTTTGCAGGTAGCAAAGAAAATTTTTATTTTCTTTGGAACAGCTGGTGAAGGGCAGATATTCCAAGGAAGGAGGAGAATGTCAAGGTAGCTGAAAAGTGAGAACTGTTAAACTGATCAGGTCAGATTAGTTATACCTTCTCCACGGCTGTAACCCAAGTAGGACATACATTAAAACATCTAATTCTGCTGTGAAATGTTTAGGTTCAATGAAAGTTGTCCTTCATCTGGAGAGGGAGAACACTGGACAAGGCGGGGAGAAAAAACCCAAACAAATATTCAGGACATAATCAACCCCTAAAGGAGAAGAATGGAAATGCATTTTGCTTACTGGAGAGTTTATTGCAGAGCTTTTTCAATATAGCACATCTGCATCTTCCTATGAAGCACCCGAAGCTGGCCGTTTATCAGGGGAGGATTCGATACTCAGCTCTTCTGCTGAATATGTAAATAAAAATACTGTGGATAAACATCACTCTTGAAAGTGCAGTGCTGCACTGTGAAGGCTACCCCTTCACTTGCATTTATTCTGTCAATAAGATAAGGCTGACTTTCTGTTTGTTGACATTGGACGTGGACTCACCCCTTTTCCTAGCCGTGATGGCTCACAGGGTGAGACATGTAACACCCCCCTGCAAGCTGGTGTCAAACACTTACAGAACCCTCAGGGACCTTTGTGGGTGCCTGCCCACGTGCATCTCGTGCCATTTGAGTCCCCTCCGATCATCCACGTGTGCGCCAGAGCTACAGGAGACCTCCATCTCCCCCAGTGGAAGCTGGAGACCAGGCAGAACAGCCTGGGGAGACCTTAGGTGGCACTGGAGACCGGTACTGAAGTGACGGAATCATGCTCCTGCTCTTGTTGGAACTCAAACACTTAGTTAAAAGTTCAATTCAGCTTGTGAGTTCCTGCCATGCCCCGTGCCTTCCATTATTTTCTAGATTTAACCTTTTCCAAAACCAGATGATACGTAGGTGGTGGCACAGAGTGCAGCCTCGGCAAGTTTCCCCTTGGTGGAGAAGTGGGAGGAGTGGCTGATGGGCCGCGGCTCTGTGCCGCTACCCGGAGGGACCGGGGCAGCCTGGAGAAAGGGGCTGACAGGATGTCAACTCCCCGTTTCTCGGGATGACAACTCAGAATCACCGATTCCCAGGTCAGGATTCAGGTGAAACGACACCAGGCATCCTTCAACTCGCAAAACTCCATTTGTATTTTCTCCCAACAGATATTGGGTGACGCTTTGTCCGGCAGCCTCGCAACCTCCACAACAAGCAGTAAACTTCATAACATGCACCAACGAGTGTTACAACATCCACTGACCGGTGGCAGATCTTTTGCCCAAACAAGACTTGGCAAATCTTAAACGTGTCCCAGCAAACCTTGCCCTATACGCAGGGTTGCAGGGATAGAGAACGAGAGGAGAAAGAGAAAGAGTGAGAAAGACAAAAAATAAAGATCTCATCAGTGCTGGTCCCGTCATTGGTCCAGCCAGCCCAGGGGTCTGGTTCCAGAGGGACGCAGCCACCCGGGCTTTGACTCCTGCCTTATTATAATTCTTTGCCCCTCCTCTGGGCGGGCACTTGGACTCATTAGGCTAATTAAACATCATGCACAATCTGTGCTTCTGGAATTCTCCTTGCTTTTGGTTCACGCACAGTTTGTACCTTCAGATTCTTCTAGAAATTAATTGGGGGACCTCGGGGTCGTTGGGGAGTTACTGCCCCCTCCCTGCAGGTGTGACCACTGTCTGACCTCTCCTGTTGGTGTAGGCGTCATGAAAACGGCTTCTCTCATGGTGCTTTACGGAGCCGCTCAGGATGGGGAAGTTCAGCCCCAGGAACGTGTGCTCCCACCTCCTGGGACCCCTCCTCTCGCCGCATCTCCCTGCCCCGACCTGCACAGCCCCGGCCTTTCCACAGAAACCGTTTCCTCACCAAAGTTCTTTATTGAGCGTTTGAGACATTAAGTCGAGTTTCATTGGACTGTCACTCAGGACTGGGCTTCCCAGTACGAGAGAGATGGGAGCTACTGGGGAGAGTCCAGCAAAGGGCCATGGAATGATGAGTGGGAGTGGAGCACCTCTCACGTGAGGAAAGGCCGAGAGAGCTAGGGCTGGTCGGTCAAAGGAGGAGAAGGCTCAGGGGCATCTTATCAATGTGTATAAATACCCGAAGAGGGGATATAAAGAAGACTGAGCCAGGCTCTTTCAGGTGATGCCCTGTGACAGGACCAGAGACAATGGCCATGAAGTGAAAGAGAAAAGGTTCTCTCTGAACGTCAAGAAACACTTTTTCATTGTGAGGGTGACTGAGCCCTGCCAGAGGCTGCCCAGGGACGTCGCGGAGTCTCTGTCCGTGGAGACCTTCAGAAGCTGCTTACGCGTGGTCCTGGGCAGCGGCCTCTGCTGGAGCAGAGGGCTCGGTCCATGTGACTCCAGAGGTCCCTTCCGACCACAGCCACTGATTTTTTTCAAAACTGAATCAATCCTGGAACGCTTTCCTTATTGCTGTGTTAATTAAGGGGGGACAGATGCACGTTCGTGCCATTACACACTTTGTAGATTTTATGACAGAATTTGAACATGCAGATTTGTTGCAAGAGTTACAGAGGTTTTGAAACCCAAAGACTAAAGAAAGACAATTTCTTTACTGATTATAGCATCCTCAGGTTTGGAACACACAGCTTTCCCAGGCAGGGCAGGAACAGATATGTAATTAGTTTTCTCAGTATCTCTCTTCCTTTAGAAATAGCATTCTTCTAGCACTTTCAGTTCCTGACTGGTTTAATCTACGAAAGGATTTTCTCTTTTGTTAAAGTAGTGATGACAGTTGTGTGTATGTGTGCATGCCTCTGTGTGTGTGTGGATATATATAAAGTGGTTTAGAGTGGTTTTCCTTCGCTCCGAGGGCGGTACATGGTACCTTGTTTTCTCTTCAGTTCAGTACTCTGCTTTTTGTTCCAGGCTCCCTCTGTACACACAAAGAAAGAAGTAATCTCCACTGTCACAACCCTTAAAATGTGAATCGACCTACAGAAAGAGAGAGGTTATTGACATTAATCTATTTTATGAAATTGAGAAACAAAACTGTTTAGGAATAGGCTTTTTTGAGAAACATAGAAAGAAATGAGGGTTGGCTGGGCAAGTGCACGGATGCACTTACAGGTCAGGAGGGACTGTGTGCAGAGTTAAAGCTAAATCCATACAAATCATTATCTGTAACCTCCTGTACCGGTAAAACTGGTACTAAAATCATACACCAAGTCACAAGGGTTAATTCTGGCAGTTCAAACATCCTTTATTAATGGATGTAACCTCGTGGAGCGCAGCTACCCACAGCATGGCTCTGCCTCTGTTCTCTAATCGGAGTACAAACGTCTCCCTGCTAAGAATGTTCAGAGTCTTGACTTCTCCATTTCACTTTCCTCAGAGCGTAGGGCCTTTGGGGGTGGGGAGGGGTGTCTCTACGGTACGTGTGATCTTAAATGATGCCCCAAGGCCGCCCATAACACAAACTGTAAATCAGCTGCAGCGTTGGCAGCGTGCGGACCCAAATCTTGTCTCTTACTGACCAAGCGGGAGGTCGCGTGGGGTTGCTCGCGACCGTGCTGGGAGGGCTCTGTCTCCTGCCCCTCTGCTTGGGGAGGCTTCCAGGTGGTTGGAGAGCTTCCAGCACAGAGCTGTTGGCAACCAGTGGGCTCAGAGCGTGGTCAGAGAGCTTGTGTCTGCCCGCAAAGAGGGAGCCACCGTGTCTGTCACCACGCGCACTCGCAACAGTCGGCCTCAGGTCTGCTTTCACAGAATATATATGGAGAGATGGTGGTTGGGGTTTTTTTAACCCCAGGAAAAGTGCTGGTGAAATCCGTGGGACATATTCCCGTAAAAAAATGCCCTCAGCGCTGCAATAAACACTTTACATGAGAATTTAATAAAGGGGAAATGTAAGAACTCCCAGCAATAGCTGTATTTCTCTCAGTTCTGTCTGTGTGCAGATTCAGAGTTGTTCAGATCCGTTTCAGTGTCTTGCAATTACTATTTCTGGCAGAATAATTCTTATCAAAGAATGACCTTTACAGTAGAGAAGACATTTTCTGTCAAGAACGGTGACTGTAAATCAAGGGCCATCAAACTTTTAGGGCAGTTTTTACACAGACTTTTTGTTTTTATGAAACCATCCCAGGAGAATCAAACGTGGACATTGTTGGGTGTTTATAGATATCCGTATATTTAGAACAGCAGTATGGAAATGTTTCCCTAAGTATTTGTATGCTTTTTGGCATGGAGGGCATTTCTTTCATAATAGAAATAATAGTAATCAGAAGCATAGTAACAATAATAGTCCAAATACAACGAGAGGCCAAATGCTGTAATCTTTTCGTGCTAAATGTTATGATGTTGAAAGTTCTGAAATATTCATGTTTTTCAGAAACCAAACAATTGTTTAAGCCTAACCAATGAAAAATTGTAGTTCGGAACACAGAGATAACACAAATGACTCACAAAGTCAATATTGTTCTTTGTTTTACAGTGTTGTCTGCACATTTTCGGGTCTGCGAGCCATATACGGACTACAAAGGTCGCTACCACTTTGGTTTTCACTGCCCCCGTCTTTCTGACAATAAATCTTACATCTTCTGCTGTCACCATAACAACACCGTATTTAAATACTGCTGCAATGAGACAGAATTTCAGACTGTTATGCAGATGAACTTAACAGGGAATGCAGATGGATATATGCATAAGTAAGTAAATGAGTTCTAAAGTACTCTTCACCAAACTGTTCCTGCTCTAATAACATAGTCTGAGGTGTACTTAATGATGGAAGCAATTAGAATAATTGCACATGCAGAAAAACATTACTAAAAGGTTTTTGCTGTTACGGAACTCTTAAGAGAACTGATGGTTTATCTTTGCTGTGACATGGGCTATAAAGATTGCCAGGAGAGCCGGTAAAGCCACGTAGAATGGTAACAAATATAAGGTTACACAGAAAAGTTAGAAAAGTCTCTCCCGGGACCCCAGTCTGATCCAAACTCTGTTTAAATGGGTGTCACTCAAACTCCAAAGCTGTCCCTAAAGGCAGAGAGGGAGGGAGGTGACGTTTTCCGTATCAGCCCAGACGCTCTGTTCTGAATCTCTGATGTTTCGGCTGTCAATCTCTTGTAATCACTGACCTTGGGGAACAGAAGATATTTTTCTCAGATACCAAAACCGTGTGGTCTCCTTGCGTGTTACCTGAGACACTTCCATGTGCTGCTGCGGCCCATCCTCTAAGGAAAGGTCAAGTCACTTTTTTTGGTGAAGAACCAGTCAGCAGCCGGTAGATCCCTGTTACTGATCACGGGTGCACGATGACAAAATCTCCGCTTGTGGCCCGTCTCCTGTGTAGGATTTGACGTTCTGGCCACACTAACCAGCTGTGGTGTCTCCTGGTGCGGAGCACGACTGATGGAAGCCCCCAAAGTCAAACTCTGCTCTGTCTGCCTTCCCCTGCCGTTTTGTTCTGGTACCCAGCCCCTCCAGGGCAGGGAAGGGGCACATTAAAACCAGCTGGAATTGGCAGTCTGTTGATTTTTTTTGTTGACAACAGGGGTTTTAGTGTTTTCTTCTGCACTGCAGAAGTGGGCGCGTGTCCTTCATTCCCGTGGAAGCCGGTGCAGGGCGGCCAGACCCGTGTGGGTCTGAGGTGGCTGCGTGCGGCTGCGCCCAGCAGCAGCCAGCTCGTGGGGTCGGCATCCGCCTCCTCCTTAACAACCCCTCCGTGGATGGCTCTGCCTGGACGACTTTGACCTTGTTGGAGAAGTGGCGTGCTCTAACTTCGCAGGTGTTAAGTGAAAATCACCTCCTGTGTCCTCTGTAGTGTAAAAAGATGAAAACAGGCTCCACCCATGGAGGAAACCTTTACATTAATGTGGGTTTGTGCTGTCTTGTTACTTGTAGCTGTGTCCTTGAGGTGAGATGTCCTCACCTTGACCTTTTAGTGCATCTGGGATCGTCCTGAGAGCGTGTCAGAGAAGGGAGACACTTCAGATCTGACATTCCCACGCAAAACCTTCCCTTTTCTCTGCCCTTTGCACAGTCCGGGCGATCTGGAAACTGGTGGCACCCTCACCCGGGGCTGCCTGGCTCTGCCAGCGAACGTGCCTCAGGGCAGGCTGGTGGAGTTTGCAGCCCAGTATGCCCGGTGCCCCGTGCCGGGCCTGCTCCCCATGCTGGCTCTGCTCCCCCTTTGTGCCGCGGGTGCCCTGGGACCCGCCTGAGGGGGTCGGGGCACTCGCCACAGAGGGGCTCTGTGTGTGGGCACAGACGGAGCCAGGAACTGCTTCACGCTCAGAGGAATGGCAAGAGAGCCTCAGGAATGGGCTAGTGTGGCTCTTACCCCCAGACTGCCCCTGTCCTTCGTGCTGCGCACCGCAGAGTCACTTTCTTTCTCTCCTTACTGCTCTGTAAACCCTGCACCACGGTGCTGGGCAAGCCGGTGCCTGACGGGCAGCTCCCTCATGGAGTGGGGGTCACTCACCACTTGCAGCTCAGCCAAGTAGAAAGCCAGTTCCTCAGGCTTTTTCCAGTGTCTCGGCAGCTGCTCCGTGTAGCCCTGGCCAGAGGTGACGGAGGTAAGGCCCTTCTGTTCTTCCTTCTACCGAGGACCTGAAGTGGCCAGGGCACTCAGCCGCTTCCCAGAGGAACAGGGACGGTCTGACGGCAGAACACGCCCCGGGATGTAGAACATTCCCCTGCCTCCTGCGCCCCATGTTTGTGTGCCGACACCCCCGTGGAACTCCACGACAGGGCTGCGCATGTTACAGAGTGTGTGGGAGCGGGTCCTCGGCAGGAAAAAGGTCATTCGGCATTCTGTGAACTACAATATTTATTTTAATGAAAATAGTGTATTAAACTAGTTTTCATTTAGCAATCTTTTTTTTTTTTTTTTTTAAGTCACCTCATTCAGTTGTGATGGAGGAAGATCCACTTCTGTGGTCTTTGTAAGGTTCATGGTTGAGAGCTACCTGCGGAATATTTACCATTCGTGTCTTCAGAATTTCCTGTGGACTTCAGCTACGTGCTGATCTTCCGCAAACACAGTAAAAAGCTTCTGGAAACGTACCTTAGAGAAGTGCAGGAGTAGAGCCGGTGTTGCGTTTTGGGAACCTCCCTAAAGATCACTTCTGATAAATCAGTCAGGGAAAACGAGGAGACGCCGACTTGCTGCGTGGTGACATGGTGAGACTGACGGAGGGAGAGAGATCTCCTCACCCTGAGCTCGCTGAGGCTGGTAGAAAACTTCCGGATCATTTTAGTGTGCTGTGGAGAGGCAGAAAGAAGGGAAGCCTAGATGCCTACATTTAAAAGATTGTGAAACGCCTCTTACTTAACACACCCTGACTTTATTTAACATATGATTTCACTTTATTTGGCTTCTAATACATCCAGGGTTCACCTTACAGTAACAAAGTTGGGCCTTTGTTTAGATCTAATTTCACACACCACTGAAAAAAAATGTGATGAAACCTGTTTTACTGTGGCTGAGGAAAATGATTTAGGGTATGGGAATAGCAACGAACTGAAAAAACAGGATTATAGTTGTTAGGGAAGAGTGATTCAATATTATTATTTGGTTTATTTCAATATTATTATTTGGTTTATTTTTCCCCTTAGCCATTCTTGTGATCATCAAAACAAATTTCTTAGTTTATAATACAGTTGAGGGAAAAATTACTGAAGTGACTTCTTTGCCATGACACGGCTGAAAAAACACCATTTGTCTTCTACAGTCACACGGTAACAACTACAGCCAGGTTTATTTACATTCTGCCCATGACTATAACAAAAAATTTCTGGTTTTATAAATGCAGAATGCCGAGCTGTTGTATCTTTGCAATCACGCAGACTAATCAGTCCATAATATTTTTGACTGGGAGCAATTAATTTAGTATTAAATGTAGAAATAACAGATGATGTCTAACAGACGAGAGAAGTTCTGCCATCCAAAGTATTTTTCCATAAAATTTTGTCTAATAAATTGTTTTAGCTTTTCTTAATATTCACTTGAATCTAGTATTCATGCTCTCTCAGATGTTTTATGAGCCATGTTTTGGTGGATTATCAGCAGCACTGCTACTCCAGGGGTCCTCAGTCTGATCCTGGACAGTGCTGAGGCCGTCTGTAGCGCACCCATGGTTTTCCTTCTCTCTCACGGCAGTTTTTCAGGGGGAATGGCTTCTGCACACCCCGCTACAGCATTACACTGAAGGCAGTGTGAAGATGGAAGAGCATTAAATTTCTCCGTGTACATCATGTACCCTGCAGAGCTGGCATTTGCTTAAATATCTCCCAGAAAGTCATCTTTAGAAGAAAGAAAAATTAAAAAAAAAAAAAAAAAAAGATTGCTAAATGAAAACTAGTTTAATACACTATTTTCATTAAAATAAATATTGTAGTTCACAGAATGCCGAATGACCTTTTTCCTGCCGAGGACCCGCTCCCACACACTCTGTAACATGCGCAGCCCTGTCGTGGAGTTCCACGGGGGTGTCGGCACACAAACATGGGGCGCAGGAGGCAGGGGAATGTTCTACATCCCGGGGCGTGTTCTGCCGTCAGACCGTCCCTGTTCCTCTGGGAAGCGGCTGAGTGCCCTGGCCACTTCAGGTCCTCGGTAGAAGGAAGAACAGAAGGGCCTTACCTCCGTCACCTCTGGCCAGGGCTACACGGAGCAGCTGCCGAGACACTGGAAAAAGCCTGAGGAACTGGCTTTCTACTTGGCTGAGCTGCAAGTGGTGAGTGACCCCCACTCCATGAGGGAGCTGCCCGTCAGGCACCGGCTTGCCCAGCACCGTGGTGCAGGGTTTACAGAGCAGTAAGGAGAGAAAGAAAGTGACTCTGCGGTGCGCAGCACGAAGGACAGGGGCAGTCTGGGGGTAAGAGCCACACTAGCCCATTCCTGAGGCTCTCTTGCCATTCCTCTGAGCGTGAAGCAGTTCCTGGCTCCGTCTGTGCCCACACACAGAGCCCCTCTGTGGCGAGTGCCCCGACCCCCTCAGGCGGGTCCCAGGGCACCCGCGGCACAAAGGGGGAGCAGAGCCAGCATGGGGAGCAGGCCCGGCACGGGGCACCGGGCATACTGGGCTGCAAACTCCACCAGCCTGCCCTGAGGCACGTTCGCTGGCAGAGCCAGGCAGCCCCGGGTGAGGGTGCCACCAGTTTCCAGATCGCCCGGACTGTGCAAAGGGCAGAGAAAAGGGAAGGTTTTGCGTGGGAATGTCAGATCTGAAGTGTCTCCCTTCTCTGACACGCTCTCAGGACGATCCCAGATGCACTAAAAGGTCAAGGTGAGGACATCTCACCTCAAGGACACAGCTACAAGTAACAAGACAGCACAAACCCACATTAATG